GGTGAGGCCTCTAAATAAGCGCTTATTTTCAAACATGCTGGACACCTGCTGCACAACTTCAATTTCTTGATTACACGATTGACCACATTGATTTTTAAAAATTTCCTTAATTTACAGAGGACTACAGAGCAAAGACTTATTGTCCAAATCAGATCCCATGTGTGTCACGTATATCCAGCCGTTTGGTGAGTCGAGATGGGTGGAGTTTCATCGTACAGAAGTTATTTATAATGCCCACGATCCAGATTTTGCATCGAAAGTGCAAATGTCTTACCGATTTGAAGAACAGCAGCTTCTAAAGTTTGAATTATATGATGTAGATTCATCTAGTGTGAATCTGGAAGAGCATGATTTTTTGGGTGTAGCAACATGTAGTCTTGGACAAATTATATCAAGTGGAAAGGTATGGTAATCATTGACAAATTGTACAAGGGTCACAAGGCAGATATTTGGTATTTTGTTGATTATTTACATTCTCCAGTTGCAACTGAAAGGTACTTTAAACATGACATGTTTTCTAAAGTAGTGAATCACAGCATCTGTATCCTGCTTTTTAACATTTCTTGAAATCTGTCATTGCAGATTGTTCATCTCTTTTGTCTTCACATCAGGTCTCCTTTGCATGCTGAATACTTTACACATCGTTCTCATAATAACCACACCAGTACTTATCTGGACTTGCCATGTCTACTGGTGCTCACCACAGCAGTTCTTTTCCTTTATCTAGGTTTATGGCAAATCCAGGTGTGACACCCAGGCAATAATGCATGTATACCCACACAATGCAATAGTAAGGGACCAGGCAGCATAGGCACCCCAACAGTCATCTGAGTGTTGATCTGGTTGTGATGTGTTATTGCTGACTGGGAGGTGGAATTTAATCAACCACAAGTCACCAGAAGCCAATGCAGGCTTCATCTGAATAGTGTAAGTGGGGGCCATAGGTGGTTATTCCTATGGTAGGGGTCTAAAGTTGTAGCTCACAGTGGTACAAGACTTGCTGCTAGTTTTGGAATGATATTATAGGAGGGGTAGCTTCTCTGATGTATTTCTTGACATTGGGTTGTGGCAGAGGTGCATCTGTGGGTGTGTTCATTCATGATCTCAACACCTTCACATGCACTAACCACATATTGTATCTATTAGGCTCTCATCTGTCCTACCCAGATACTTAATTCAGCCAATCTGTGATCTTTGACTTTTCAGATGTGTGGGAGACTAAACATCTGACCTTGCATATCACTTGCTTTTTTACGAGCTTATCTGGGTAACACAGTGGTTTATACTGGCAGGGCATTTGTTCAAGAATTAGTTGGTTGTACTTTACCTATGAAGGCCTTGTCTTCTGATATCAGTTTCACAGATTGAACAGTGTGTAAATGGCATAACTCTATGCCATATCCTTTTTATTCATTGGCACAACCAGCAGTGTCATTTTCTCTGTACAGACTCCCCAAGTGCCTTGCAGAGTCACATAGCTATGTATTTACCATGTTATCATCATTGAGATTCTAAGTCAAGTCTTTCAACTTTTCAAGTCTTGGAAGTCTGTTGTATTTTGCTGGAAACCTGGCCAGATAGGTCTACCCAACAACAAGGCTGCTGAGGTGGCTGTTAAATTGCCTGCTTTGCGAGGACCCTGGCTTCCGATAGAGCCCTCAGAGGTGATAATTTACTTTCCTCTATCCTGCTGTTGTATCATTGTGACAATACAAATGAATGGGGCAATAAATTTTGAGTGGTGAAACCATTCATATGGTATGAAATCAATTCCTCCTTTGTTCAATCAAGAAAGATTGATTATTCTGATTCACCTCCAGATTGGTCACACTCACCTAACTGTGCAGTCTGTGGTTGCCCTTACCGTTGCACACATTCTAGGTGAATGTTCACATTATAATGATAATTATGTTATTTTGCATCTTTTCCATCTTTACAGCATGTTGTGTGACATTCTTGAGGATGATCACTTTAACATGATTAATGTGATGTATTTTAAAGTGGAATGGGGTTTGCCGAGGAAATTGGATGGACATGGTTTTATGTAGTTTTAGAGTTTTAGGTGCCTGTGTCTGAAGTTTAGAAGTATTTTACTGCTCTATAGAGCAGCCTTTCCCAGTTTTTAATTATTTAATTTTGTATGTTTTAAATTGTTTTAAAGGACAGGTCTCTGAACAACCCCTTCCTTTTGTTCCCTTGATGCCACACTTTAGTATTCTTTCCTACTAGAATAATGAGGCATATAACTGTCCTGAGACATGATATTATCTACTTCCAGTCTTCTTGAAAAGTTCATATTTTCTTATAGTTAAAGTGCTGCACTTTGTCATTGGAAACTGAACCACGCACATGGCATACTCATCACCCTGATGATGGAGGCAGCAAGGGGCCTCTCAAACGTTGGTAAACTTCTACCAGACTACATAGCACTACAACTCAGAAGGCAGCCATCTTCAGATTCATGGCTATGAAAACCTCAAATCCTACTAAGTCTTCTTAGGTGTTTAGCCACTTTAGCATGAAACTTATGTTGACTGTTTCACCTCTGATGATGGAGGCAGAGACAGTTTTGTGCTATCTGTAATGGTTTCCAATGTCTGTCTGTTCCAGGTTCAACTCCCATTGTCACAGAGAGGACTTGTAACCAGTGGAGATCAATATGGTCACATGATAATTGTTGCTGAGGAGTTAGCAGCACTTAAAGATGAAGTCATCATGCAGTTTAGTGGTACAAAATTGGATAAGAAGGATTTCTTTGGGAAGTCAGATCCATTTTTGGTGTTCCACAAGTCAATGGAATCTGGAGATTACATTGTGGTGCATAAAACAGAGGTAATTGTTACAGTGTTAAAATTAGTATAGGTATGTCTGTGTTGAAGAAAAATTTATATATAAGAAAGAAGAAATATATTACGAAGTACTAAACTCTGGGGCTAATCTATAATATGGGTTCACAATTCACAGCCCACATATTTTTTTTATAATATTGTGTCACACTGGATGATGAAAGACAGAAGCTAACATAACCTTGATTAATCAAAACTAACCTAACCTAATGCACATTTAGAGGAATTGTATCAATTTTGCCCCATGAAGTATTTTTCTTGTGCATTTTAAAACAATTGTGGGTGCTTTGGAGAGATGCATGTAATTCAGAATAGTGAGAATAAGTATGATGTTGAAAGATTAATGAATCAAAAGCAATGTCAGATATCTCAATAATTGTTGATTTTGTTCAAGAAAATTATTAATGTGTGGACCTGTTAGTAGCATTTTTAATAAAATTCTATGAAGATATCATAGTTTTCCCTCATTTGTACCCAGTGGCCGACAAGTCGTAAGTATGAATGTGACTATGTCTTGAAAGGTTGAAAACCCCTGATCTGGAACAACGTTGTAAGATGAAGGCTGCCTTGGTAAAGATAGCAATAAAAAAGGTATGGCAAGAACCCAGAATCTTTAAATGATCTATAACATGGATAACAAGATAGACCTTTAAAATAGTGAAAGAGCTAAAGAAAACTGAAGAGAATAATTGATATATTAACTCAATACCTAATGATGACTGACTCCAGGACTTCAAAACTCTATGGGCAAGTACTTTTGACAAAAGTACAAAATTAATTGTTTCCAATGAATATATAGATCCTATTACAAAGGATGAACTTCAAGATGCATTGAAATATTATAAAAGTAAAAAAAGTATTTGGTTCAGATAGTATGGGGTTCACTGGTGGGCATTGTAATTACATTGAACCTTAGGCTTCTACAGCAAGAAGGAATTTCTTGATCAGAAGAAAGATCTTGCACTGTGGAATTAAGGTGTCTGCCCACAAAACATTATTCTGATTGGATTGTGGCTGTTGTAGTGGCATCTTCTCAGTTGGTTCCCTTAACTTTGCTGCATGTGTGGACCACAGTATGTCATTTCTATGAACTCTGTAGCAAATATGTAGGAATGTAACAAACTCTTTATTTCTTCCTACAGGTTGTGAAGTACACACTGAATCCTAAGTGGCAGAAGTTCTCAATTCCTGTTCGAACTCTGTGTAATGGTGACTTTGACCGAAATATTAAAGTGGTATGTTATGACTGGAACATGAGTGGGAATCACAGTCTCATTGGAGAGTTTTTTGTTACTCTGCGACAGCTGTCTGAAGGACCTTCAGTGTCCAATATCTTCAAGTGTATACATCCAGAAAAGCAGGTTTGTGTATGATTATGATTTGTAACAGAACTTAATTTTCAAAATTTATGGAAAAATCTTTTGATGGAGGGGTATTTCACAAGACTTATGTTAAGGATGTCAGTTCCCGACCTCTGGCAAATGTAGTAATTTATGAAAGTGAGGAATGGCAGCACCCCATCGTAAATCAGTGTGAACCATAAAATATATCATCATGAGGGGCCATAGAGTCAACTTCATAGGTTCCTCTGCATCAGAAATTGACTTCTTCACCACTGTTAAGGCAGGCATAGGCATGAAGGTTGAATAGACAGCATTTGGGATTAACAGCAACATGTTGAAAATCCTGTATTTTGTTCCATCCAGCCATTCTATGAGGGTAACAGCTCAATTTTCTACTTCATGCAACTCAAAGTATGTGTTTGCAGAAGAAGAAGTCTTCATACACACACTCTGGTCTGATCAACTTGGATTCATTTGAAGTGCGGCAGATTTTCTCATTCATGGACTACATGAAGGGAGGAACCCAGCTGCACTGCTCCATAGCGATTGATTTCACAGGTACAAATTACTTGATTAAGAGGATGTGTGGCAGTTGGCAGCACAAAGACCTCCAACTATTTTCTGTTTAGGTATTTGTAATGTGGGCTTTGAATATTTAATATTTATGTATGTGGAGAAAGTATAAGTAATGGAAGTGTGCACATATGCTATAGTAACTTAAAACGGGTTAGGAACTGTGAACTAAGCCATTAATAAACTATCTGGTCAAGGTAGTAGTTAACTGATTAGTAAGTAGATAACTGAACCATTCCGTCAGCATGTATAAGGAAAAATAGCATGTCCAAATGATGTCATTCCATTACCAGTTACTATTTACATATAACTATAACAATATAGTTCAAAATAAATTCTGAAAGTTGATAGAATAAAGTTGGCTTAGTTTTGACAAATGTTTAAAAGGAATTTTTAATTTATGTCCACAACTGCTGAGAATTGGACTTACATTAATTTTACTTTTCTTACTGGAGATTATCTCAGGTATGAGGTCTTGAAGTTCAGGCATGAAGTCGCCAAACATTCTGTATAACTGTGGAAGTGTCCTGAGAGGTACAATTATCACAGGTTCAAACGGCGACCCTGCCTCACCACAATCTCTGCACTACATAAGTATTGTGCCAAATGCCTATGAGCAGGCTATCTCATCTGTTGGGGGCATCATCCAGGATTATGATTCAGACAAGCTATTCCCTGTACTTGGGTTTGGAGCTCGACTGCCACCAGACGGGAGGGTGTCACACGAATTCTTCGTCAATATGAATCCGAGTAACCCATACTGCAATGGGATCACAGGTACAGTGTAGCCAACTACACCCACCGTGAAGCATCTGAATTTTAAATTACTGAAGAAATTGTCTAGTGTTTCTCTCTGGTTTCTATCATTAATTATCTAACAATTTAAACTGAACAATCCACTGTTAATACCAAATCCATTGGACATGATCTTGAGACTGTGTGGTGTACTGAAACTTATTTTTTTCACATTTGAGATCAGTGGCATGTTGTCATTTATTTTGTTGGGTCTGCGGCACATGCTGGTGAACCAAGGATCATGGTTGTGTAACTGTTACATCTGGTGTGGACAAAATTTCACAAGACCAGGTCATAGAAGTATAACCACTATATCTAGCGTGAAATAATTACACCAGAATGAAGTAAGTTAGGTTAGTTTTAACCTTTGGCATTTGAGTTATTACAGTCAATCAGTGAGTCAAGAAAGGTGGCAGACACTCACAACTGAATTATAGTCTCTTGTATGAGACACACAGGTATACCAACTTTTCTATGTGTGATGCTGTTAGGAGTGCTAGAAGCTTACCGGAACTGCATACGTCAGGTGCAGCTGTATGGACCCACTAACTTCTCTCCTGTTATAAACCATGTGGCTCGCTTTGCCAGCACATACCGAGATGGCTCCAGCTACTTCATTCTGCTGATCCTTACTGATGGTGTCATCACTGACATGCCACAGACTATACAGGTAATTCATGCTATGTCAGTGCAGTGTTGTGTACGGGATGCAGCCCTGTAGATTTTCTGTGTGTGAAGATTAAAGTACCCACTGAGAGTCTTGTATAAAATGCACAGTTTTCATACTCTCTTCTAATAAAACATTGAGTTTTGATTGAAATTATGTCATTAGAAATGTACGGAGCTGTAAAATACGTTTTACAAACATTTGCAAGTTGTGCTTTAATTTTTATGCCATATCATGATCAGTTGGTTTCCTCATATTGATACTTCATGTTTTGTTTATAAATTTGTGAATTCAACAATGAGAATATAGAGTAAGCACACTAGCCCACATCACCCAGAAATATTCAGTTACTAAGAATATAGATTTATACTTAAAAAACATTGTTTATTAACATTTTGCCTTGGGTCATGTAGAAATCTATAATTTCTATTCCATAAGTTGTTGATGGAATACGTTGTTCAACATTTCCATACATTGCTTTGTCAAGATGTGTGTTTCAGCTGTGTCTCACTGGGTTGGCATTGACATTGACATTTATTAATATTTTCTGTAGAAATTCAGGAAATGTCAGCAAGATGGAGGATACAGTGCCTTCAGTTTTAGAAACACTCTCATGATTTTGTCATTCTATCTACAAAGTTTTCTAATAGTGTGAAATTAGCTGAAACTTTGTTAAACAGAAAGGGAACAGTTCGTGGCACTATGAGAGCTAACAGCTATTCCACATGCTCCAGAAAAAGAAGCCATAAGCTTGAGAAAAGGGCAGTCATGCTTCCAGATAAATGACTAAATAATGGATCAAGTGCGGAAAGATAAAAGACTTCTGCAAATAATAAGCATGATTCATGACATAAACGGTTAATACAGAAGGGGGTGGGGGGAAAGCATACAGAAAAATAATCTGGAAATAAAGAAACCCTGTTGTGTTATCTGATATAAGTACATGAACTGTGTAGACAGGGCAGGTCAGTATTCAGTTGCAAAGACTGTGAAGTGATCAAAAAGTTGGTACTGTATCATGTAAACTGTACACATTTCAACATACTTTCTATGTGTTCATTTGACTGCATGTTTGCCTATGTTGCACACATTCGAGGATCTATTTTCAGTGAGGTGATTTTTATTCACCATGCCTGTAATGGTTTTGGAGGCTCTAAAATTTAATGTGTTTTTGTAACTCTTATATTTATTTTATTTCTTCCTTTATTCACATTCAAGAATGAGTTGGTTTTTCAATATGAAAGGTTGAAGATAAAGAGTTTCCCTTCTAGTCATCTGCAAGATGGGTCCAAAATTTCAGGAAGAAACAAAGTCAGACAGAGACATGTGACAACATATATTAGTTGTAAGGAAAATTTGGCTTTTGAAGAAACAGTTGAATTTGCCAAATTATTTCAGTAATCCAAAATCATTTCTTCATTCTCAGATGTGAATAAAGAAGAAAGAAAACAAATAAATGCATAGCTAAAAATTAAATTAAATTTTATGGTGAATAAACCATATCTACCGCCAATATTTCGAGAGCAATCTCTGCTCTGGAAATGTTGGCGGTAGATATGGTTTATTCACCATTCAGCCACATGACGTGGCCTGTAACCCAAGAGTCTTTCATCAACATAAGGGTGCTTACTTTAATGAGACTTATGAAACAATAGTGAAGAAAGTGGAAAATAAAATTGTGCATTACAAAGAAACAGTTGATTGTCAACACCTGATATGTTAGCAAGGAAGTCAGAGGTGGGACCACTGGCATACTGCAAAACCATAGTTGAGTTGGATGTTTTATTGGACTGGGTTCCCTTCTCAGTGAAGAACTACTAGACCCCCAACAAGCACTTTTCTCAATAGAGGGCTAAAGAACATTACATTGAACTTCAAAATATACTAAGAATATAGTCAAGAGCTATACATGTAAATGCTTGTAAAATATTTTTGAACTGGGGCATTTGTTTACAGGTACACACCATTTTGTAGTATTTTGAGCCTCTTTGGCGATTTTCAGAAACTCTTATTATATTGTGATATAAAAGTAATTAGTTTTGCTGCTTTGTCAATAGATGTTGGTATGTCTAGAAGTTTGTATGGTAAGTGATTCTTCTGTGATTGAGCCAGTTTCTGTTAAGTATTTGGATTATAAAATTTTTTAAATGTCATTTGTATATTTGAGTATTTCATTATACTGGGCACAATGCTGGCAGATATCCAGTCCTGAAAACACTGCCTCTTATTGAAACAAAGTTTCAACAAAATTGTAGCAGGTTACCTCTGAGAATGTAGACTGGATTGATCTGACTCAGGACGGGGATCATTGGTCGGCTAATGTAAACATGACTGTCTACTTCACATGAAGTTAGGTTGTATGAGCTTATGAAGAATGTACCTTGTTCAAATCTTTGCTGAGGTACTTGTTGTCCTGAGTGTACTTCTCAATAGTTTTCATCAGGTCTTCTGAGTTTTTAATTTTTCCCAAGCTCATATTTATGCTATGTGGATTTTCAACTCCTTCCATTATTTCCAGGTTACTACCTATGATCACATTCTACAATCTCATTTGATTCAAGTAATTAGCAGTTGATACAGAATCATTAAATAGCCAACAACTGAAAACACATTTTTTAATGACACCTGTCTTCTTTCTCACAGGCCATAGTGTCAGCCTCTGTGCTGCCCATGTCCATCATCATCGTGGGGATTGGAAATGCTGACTTCGGTGCCATGGAAATTCTGGATGCAGACACTGTGGCTTTGACGGCAGGTGGTGTACGTGCTGCCCGTGACATTGTGCAGTTTGTTCCATTCAACAAATTTGCAACCATGGGAGATCCTCGCATGGCTAGAATAAGGTTAGCACGAGAGGTGCTGGCAGAAATACCCACTCAATTCATTGGCTACATGAAAACAAACAATATTACACCCAAACCACCACAACAGAATGTATCTGTCCTGCCACCAGACCCTGAACTCATTCAGACAACCATTTAAATTCCTCAGGTCTCTGCTTCATGTTACATGGTTCAGTTTCAGAAGGTGATTACATCGTGCTTAATGTTAATATGTGCTTATCTAAATGTTTGGCTAATTTTCAACATGATTATGAAAATAATACTTGTTTATTACAAGGTACAATAGTAGTCATAGAATTTCCTTATTATATGATGCAATGGAATAAGTAAATTATGTGTAAATTTTTGTGATTCCATTCATTCACAATTTAAGTCACATTTAACAGTTTAAAAGTGCTAAACGGTACATCTGACTTGTTCTTTATAACTTTTCTAGTGGCAGCTGACTTTGTATCTTCAAATGTAGGACTTTATTCAGGACTCAAGGCTAGCTTTAGAACATGAAATACTTAATCAACGCACGAGTAGGTGCGTTTCTAATCTGTGATATTACTAATGAAGCTTTTGATTTTTACACACATGAATTGGATCCACCTTATGTGCAAGGTACTGTGTTATTTGTTTGGTCTAAGCTGTGAACTGATTATGTAAAATTTACATTTTAGATTTTATAGTCTTAGGTTTGATGCATCTCAGGAACATCAGCCAGTTTGGCTACAAGCACCGTGGTAAAACATTTGTGTAATCCTTTGAAGCCGAAACTCGTCTAAATAATATTTAACAATTCAATCCATACCTCAAAAAACACAGAACAATTTTTACTTACAAGGAGCTATTTAAGTAAATAATCCTCATTTATGGTGATAATCATATGAACCCCAGAAGTACAAAATCCAGAGTAACTGGTTGTTAAAGCATGCGATACATACAGTGACACCTGGACTTCAAAGGGTTAGTATGGGTGCAAATGATATTAAAGTATTGGCTTTTATTTCTGCTTTTGATGAGCAATTTATGTTAAATGACTCTAATCTCAAATCTTTGCATGTGTTAGAAGGTAATGCTGATAGTGTTCCGAGAAATCCAGTATGCTGCAACAGTAGATGCAAACACTGCGTTGTCTTTTATTCTGGCTGTAAACAGTTTGTACTTCATCTCTGCAGGTTCTTCATATCTGACTGAACTCAGCATGTGTTTACAGATAAGTGATTCAACATTATCTTGCTGAATGTCATAGCCAAGTTGTTAGAACTTGTGCTTCTTACCCTCTCTAGGTAGCCCTGTATTTAAATCCTGAGCCAGAATCAACTTTCGTGACTGACATTTATTGAATTTTTCCTTTGCTGGGATTTTACCTGAAGATAGACCAAGACTTCTTTCTTCCACCTTCATTCCAGCACATCATTCAATAATTGCCCTGTCAGAGAAGCTGCATATGCAGTGCAGTTGATGAGGCATTGTTTAATTTATGAATGTCAGACAACATTAGTTTGGTAAAATCAAACTACTAACAACACATTCAAGGTTATGAGAGTTACACTTGACAACCAGTTTTCATTAAGGACTACTGGTTGGTTACTATACTCTTCAGAGGTCATGAAATGTGGCCAATTTCTGCGTTACTGAAATTTCTTCATTTAAAAATAATGACAATATGTCAGGCTGATTGAGTTCAGATTATGACATGTTGTGGAAGCTCGGAACGGGATTAGAATACCAATACTTCGGTGATTTATATTTTACATTGGTGTGGTTGTAATTTTACAAAGGAAGAATGATTTTTACAGCAATTAATCCTGGAAAGTGAAAAATATTTAGAATGACAGGCTTTGTGATAGCAGGAGATACAGGCTGACATATGACAATGAATTCTGCTTAATATATCATAAAGGGAAGTGGAGAGTATCTGACACAAGTTGTTCTTGCACAGTTATTAAAAATCTTACACCAGGTCAGGAAGTGCAAGCAGGAAGTGCATCAAAACTTCTGCATTGAAAGTTACAATAAGAACTTGTAAATTACTTGTTTGACTTTATTAGGGTATGAGGTAAGTTATCTATTCTGAAAATTTTTATGCGTCTGTCTTTATTCATGTTTCAAACTCTATTTAACAGAATATCATTACTGTATCTCTAAGTTCCAATGGTAGCAAAAGCTAAAATGTGACCTTGGGGAAGAGTTTATGTTATAGTTGCATCATACAAAGGCTCACAAGAAATTAATAAACTGCAGATTAATTGCTGCTAATCCAAAATAAACTTTTGCAAGTAGATGCCAACAGTCGGACATGTTACCGATGTTCTGTGTTGCCATATTGAAGTATGTTAATAAAAGTAAGAAGCTTTTCACTTTTCTGAATTTTTATACCTCAGACTCTACTGAGATTTTAACATAATAAAAGTTGCACAAACATAAGCACTCTATTCATAAATCTTTAACATTTTTTGTTGTTGTATCTTAATTATTAATATATGGCTGCTTCAACATGCTTTTTTTTTCTTCGAAACTGTAATGCAGTATCTTAGTTATTAATATATTGCTGTATTAACAGAAGGAAGTACAGAAACGCAAGAGTATAGAATTATATGTGTCCATGTCAAAGTATTCTAGATATTTCAATTTACCATACCTTTAATGTGTTTTATGCTGTAAGGGTATGTGCATTTGTAACTTACAAGTCAGCTCTTAGATTGCATTAATGTACATGATCTGAAACATCAGTTTGTCCCATTGTTTCTGACAAGGGTCACTGTATTAATCTGTTTTTTGCTGTGGTTCTTGCATCTTGTGTGCAGAGAAATTTGTGTTCATTTGTGTATAGCTTTAGCACTGTGAATGGGGGATACCATTTTTACCTGAATCTAAGGCAGCCATATTCATAAAAGAAAAAAAAATCCAACAGGATTATACATTTATATATTCCCCTTGCCAATTCCATATCTTGCAGCAGCTAAATACTTGTTTATTTTAGTTTTCAAACATTACTTTAAAATTTGTGATGTAGATTTGTAGTAAGTGGTTTTCTTATGGTTATGATCCACATTATTATGTTTACAGCTGCAGCATACATTTGCTACAAAGTTGCCATGACTCTCTTACGGAAGACAGCTATTCAGCAATTAAACTGAATTTTAATTAATGCAGTTCATTACTCTCATTGTTGTGCTAGAGTTCATTCTCAACAATATTTTGCTCATATTTAATTTCAAAATCTCTTCAGTTTGAGGTATTTTCCATCTTAACCACTATATTAATGTTTATTGTATGAGTATAGTGTATTTAAACCCCCAAACAGAGGGACTGCTGGCAACAGCTGCCAATTCCACATCTACGATCGTGTCTTTCTGATGACAGGAAGTGATGCATGGTTTGTAAAGGTTACTGCATGAATTAGGGAAGACAACTGATGAAAATAATAAACCTCTGCAATGTGCTGTCTGGTTCTCTGTGTCAGGTTTGCATAGAAGTAACACTGTATGCCGTGCTGTCTTCAGCAAGACCAGTGTTTGCATCCATCCCATCTCTTTCAGTACAGTAATTACTTTTGCCTTCATTCTTGCACATCACTTCTTTAAATTAACTTAGATGTTTATTTCTCTTTAACAAAAATCACTTTCTAATCACATTCACATTTCTTCATGTGCCAAGATGGGAATACACATCTTTATGCGATAAAACTGTATTTCCTTTGCCTTTCCTTAAAGTTTTTATAAAGTTATATATTTATACCTCCCTTGATTGAACCAGTGTCGTTACTGGAAACACTAGAGTTCTTCAGAAATACATAATGTAACAGCATGCCTCCTAGCTTGAAGTTAAATCAATAGAACAAAAAATTTTGCAGTACTTTTTTATGTGAAAAATGGTGCTTACAGAAATCACTCTTTTACAAAATTTGTGAGATTCTTTCCCTCTGTCTTTTGCTCAAAGTCTTTTACTTTGTACTTGGAGAATAGTTTAATTATGATGAAACTAGTATTTGTAGTGCATGGCAAAGAAGTCAGCACAGTATGTGTTGTTTTTTGAATGTAACAGAACATGCTCTGTATTGTTGTGTTTGCCCTTTTACAAACTTTCACACATTCCTAATTTTAAGGAATGACAAATGTAGGTTGCAGTGGGTCATTGTTTCCAGCACCATGATATGTCATTGCCCTCACTAAACTTTGCTCATAATAAATTCTAGATGTGCTCATTTGTTACAGTGTTCAGTAACATGTTCTCTTTGATCAGCAGTCGTTATAAAATCCATTATTTTCATCCACATGGTGATTGCGAAAGCTCAGTAAAAGATTGCACAGCTGAGTGAACTGAATTTCATCCTTGGTTCTTTGTCATTTATATATATAAGGATTCTTCTGGTGATACATAATGGTGTGTTATGCTGACACCTTTTCAACTAATTCCATGAAACATGGTCATTCCTGTATTTAGTCTTTAGGCACTTTTGTTTTTCCTATAGGAACTCCCATTAGAAGAAACTGATCAGGTGATCTTGCTGGCCAATTTATGCCTCCATTGCTGGGCATTCCAATTCTACAGTACTTGTACATTTACAGTTGCTGTCATTTTGTTGTCATATTTATTTAAAGTGAGGCTTGAATCTAAAATCACACATCAGACAGTTACTTGTAATGGATGTAAAGGTTGTCCGATTCTCACTGGGATTTTTCATGGCTGACACTGTGTAGCTTTGTTTATTCATCTAACCATGAAGATGACAGTGTGATTCATTGCTGTATTAGATAGAAGGTTAACTCATTGTTATTATCAGCAAGTTCCAGTAAACTGAGTGAAAAATTCTGTTCTGACTTATAAGTATGTTGCTATTCCTGGACTAATTGAATTTTAGTCAGTCACTAAAAATCCTTGTTCTGTTGATTTTGATGAACTCTTTAATGTACTTTTTTCCCAACTTGTTCCATGTTTCTCAGAGCAGATATGGTCTACCAGACCATTGTTCATCTGCCACAGTGCCATTTTCATGGAATCTGGACGTGTATCATTTAATAACATGTCTTGATGAAGCATTATGAATTGGCAACATTCTTTGCAAGCTCTTTTAGAAGCAGTTATGGACGATCTGTCTTTTAAGTACAGTTCCACTATAGCAGATTCTTCAATTGTCCATCTTTCCATATCTTCAAACTCAGAAGACTACATTATTATCTGAAGGCAAGATGGCAGTAATATATGTTAGAGTTCCAAAGTTATTGGAAGTAAAATAATTTGAGCAGAACAGAACTGTACTAAATTTGTGGTAACTTTTGCATTGCGTAACAAAGACCTTACTACTTCGCTAGTAATGGATCAATTCTGTGTTCTTTCCCAGTGCTGCTGCATATTTCATAATGAAATGTGGTAATTAGGCTGTCCAGTAAAAATATTGGCAGATCTGCTAGATCTGGAACAAACGAAATATGTATGTCAGTTTAGTTCAAATTATAGTTTTGTTTCTATTTTTGTACTGTAAGTTGGAGCCAGTGGATGATAACTGGGTTTATTTATTTTATTGCCAGCATTTCTTAGGACCAAGTTTGTAGTCAGTCTGACAACAGATGACCATAGCCAGGGACATGAGCTGTCATGATTGGAAACAGAGTAAGCACAGAATTTTCATAAGAATCTTGTAAAGAACTGATTATGATTTTAGGCCATTAATTCGTTAATTCAAAACATATGATAGGGGTTTATTTCAGATGCCTGCCCCTCACATGGCTTCATCTGTTACATTTTGTCATGTGCTCAGAAAGGGATCCATATGATCATCTTAGCAATAAGTTGTAAGATGCTGCAGACTTGGTCACATTCCTAGTGTAACTGTATGCCAGCCATGTGGTGGGTGGCTTGTGGTTGCAGTCTCTTGTTAAGATGTTCAATATTCTATATTATATCCTTACATATATTTAATAAAATACTTTATATGTATTTTCATGACATGAAATGTACTGTTGTTAGTATTGAGCTTGTGAACTTCCTTTCCCATCACAAACTTCCTGCGGATATTATGAAACTTCTTGTGTAAATAATTTTGTAAATTTTGTGCAAAATATCTTAATTTTGTCACCTCTTTAACTTTAAGCATTTATTTTGTCAGGCTGTAGAACATAGCCTTTTATCCTGAGAGAATATAGATTTGAAATATTTGAAAGAAGACTGCTCAAAAACTATGTAGGCCTAAAATGAGTGAAGTGCCATATGTACCTGATGTTATTTATACAGGCCATCTAGTATGGTCACAGTAGTGAAGTGCAAGATGCTACAGTTGGCTGGGCATATGTCTAGGATGGAGAGACAAATTCATATTCACACTTGCTAGGAAAACCTTTTAAAAAAACAGTCACTTGGAAGATCAGAGGATAACATTATGGTGGATCTGAGGGAGTTTGGTTGTGAGACAAGGAAGTCTACAGATCTGACTCAGGGTTGTGATTAGGGTCCTGTTACATGAAAGTTTGAATGATATTAATAACCTCCAGCGAAGAGGATGACGTTTATTCTTTGAAGAAGCTGACATAAAAAATCTATGCTATGCAGAAGCTCTCAACATTATGAGTGTTGATGTGTTATTTTTAAATTTGCCTAATAGTGAATTTGTATCTAGAGGCAGGGGGTATGTAGATATACATTACAGCTTAGAACCGACTGTACCTCGCGCCGCACGTTTTCGCGATGTACACCAATCACAGGAGATTGTTGCGGAAGGATATTTACAGGGTTCAATTTTGTTATCTCTTGGTTTCCGATTTGACGCCATAAGTTGGTGTGATCTGTTTTGAATGTGACGAATTTTTATTGCACACATAACTAAAACAAGGTGACAAACAAGGTACCTTGATACAAACCAAACCAACAATGATTGCCTGTTAGTAGCATTTTTATTGGGAGAAAATAATGTCATCCAATTTTGTGCCGGGGACAGCAGCTGAACCAACAAGTGAAGTGGAGTTGACGTTGTCATGCAGGTAAGGTTATATGAATCGTCTGTTTTAAGTTGTAACCGATGGGGTTAATGAAGCTCGAAGACGGCTGTTGTCGGCAGCACCGTGTAGTGTAGGTACTTAAGAAGACAGCCATCTTCTTACTTGTGAGAACTGTGTAACTCTAGAGGAATTTTAAGTCACGCGCTTTCTTTTGTAGGGGACTTGTAGGAAAAGATGTTTTGTCCAAGTCGGATCCAATATGTGTTACGTATGTTCAACGGTTTGGCGATCCCCGTTGGGTTGAATTCCATCGTACAGAAGTTATTTCAAACACCCATGACCCAGACTTCGTAGCGAAAGTACGGTTGTTTTACCGATTTGAAGAGCAGCAGCCTCTGAAGTTCGAAATATATGACTCAGATTCTTCAAGTTCAAGTCTTGACAGACACGACTTCCTCGGTGCAGCAACATGCAGTCTTGGACAAATTATTTCAAACGGAAAGGTAAGAATTGGGTTCTTCAAGTTGTCAGTTATAGTTCCCCTGTAATGTATAAATGATCATTGATTTAAATTTGTGAAGTGGCATTGTTAAATAAATTAAGAAATTAACTTAACCTCAGCTATCCAAAGACTTTTGTTATCCATGCATACAACTTAAAATATTCTGAAGAATTGAATTTATTTTGTGTCTGAGGTTCACTTTCTTGATTGTTTTGTGTACAGTTTAATAATGATAACAGCAAAGGATATTTGGCACCAAACGAGATTGTGTGTGATGAATTTTAAAAAGAGTAGGGATAGTGTGATCATAGCATATTTCAAAGTACTGTAGAAGTCATTGATAATATTAAGATACCCATTGCATCAGTTGAGTTTCATGCCTGACATGAATATGAATTGCCTCTGTGACATTTAGTTCGATGTCAGTGGCCATCAGTTTGTAGAATACTTTTGTTAAGGGGTGTATGTGCTTTCTTTGTACTTTAGATTGCTATTCTATTTGGGTTTTATAAAATTGTTTCATGTTTGCTGTTTATATGTTGTTATAGGTGCAATTACCATTGTCTCTGACAGGAACTGGAACCACAGAAGGTCGAGGTCACATGATAATTATTGCTGAGGAGTTAGCAGCACTTAAAGATGAAGTCATCATGCAATTCAGCGGCACAAAGCTGGACAAGAAGGACTTCTTTGGGAAATCAGATCCATTTTTGGTGTTCCACAAGTCAACGGAATCTGGAGATTACATTGTTGTTTATAAAACAGAGGTACTTGCTAGATAATATGGGTTCAGTATTGTCTGCCATGTCAGTAGCATGTTTTAATTAAGTTGTTTTCTTGCAGGTGGTGAAACATACACTGAATCCTGTGTGGCCAAAGTTCTCCGTTCCTGTTCGCAGTCTGTGCAATGGTGACTATGATCGCAACATTAAAGTTGTATGTTATGATCATGAATCTGATGGAGACCACAACCTCATAGGGGAGTTTTATGTGACACTGCGACAACTCACTCAAGGACCTTCCCCATCCAATGTGTTTCAATGCATTAATCCAGAGAAAAAGGTACGTGTATCACAAACAAATGTCACTCGTTTATCTTATTAATACTTTGATGTGATTGATTTCATTGTTTTTTTAGAGTGCTGTTTCTGTAGATTTCTGCAGTTCCGGTGTGTGGAGCGGTTTCCACTATTTAGTTTAGAATGTGGAGTCTACAGCATATTCTGGATCCAGTTTGAATTTGTGCCACAGGGAAGGATAGGATATCAGATCAGAGTACCAATAGTCTTTAGTCTTATTTTGTATTGTACCTGTTGCTTAACTTCTCTGTCTTGGCCCTTCGATCTTTTCACAGTAACCACTGAATACTATTTACTTGTTTGCATTTGCAGAAGAAGAAGTCTTCATACATCCACTCAGGGCTCATCACTTTGAATTCAATTGAGGTGCGGCAAATATACTCGTTCATGGACTACATGAAGGGAGGAACCCAGCTTCACTGCTCCATAGCGATTGATTTCACAGGTGCAGTTGGGTTTATTTTGGTTTACTAGTGTGTTACAGAGCTGTATATATGTGGGCCAATATTTATAAATCTGTAACATCTTGTAGACAAAAGATGTATTTGGTGGAATAAAAAAAGTGTGAGCTTTTCCAAACAGCCACAGAATGAAGCAGTTCATGTGTCATGCATCATGTCTGATTGTGTGTAAATTTGTTGGGAAGGCATGGGCATAGATTTATTTTTGGCATATGTACTCAATCAGTTTACAGAAAGCATGAAAGACACCAGTGTCTGGTTTGATGAATTTTGTTTTCAGGATTTTTTACACTAGGATGTCAATTCTAAATTCGGGAAATGCTTACTACTTCTCAGTTCAAAATATTTTGTCTTCCCGTCTGATTTCTAAGAACCTGAAAATTAAAGTATACAAAACAATAATCTTACATGTTGTTTTGTATGGGTGTGAAACATGGTCTCTCACTCAGAGGGAGGAACACAGATTGCAGGTGTTTGAGAACAGGGTGTTGAGGAGGATATTTGGGCCTAAGAGGGAAGACGATGGGGCGTGGAGAAAACTGCATAATGATGAGCTTAAAAATCTGTACTCCTCCCTCAGTATTGTCAGGGTGATTAAGTTGAGAAGAATGAGATGGGATGGGCGGGGCATGTAGTGCGCATGGATGAGACAAGAGGTGTGCACAGGGTACTGGTTGGGAAACCTGAGGGGAAGAGACCGCTGGGGAGACCTTGACATAGATGGAAGGATAATGTCAGGCGGGAGCTATGGGAGATAGGAGTTGTAGGAAACTGGATTTTGTTGGCCCAGGACAGGGTCTGGTGGAGGGCTCTTGTTAATTCGGTGATGAACCTTCGGGTTCGGTAAGCCATCTAGTTAGTTAGTTAGGATGTCAATCCAAAGAGCAAACTAACATCATGTTGAGATTTAAGGGTCTTGTGGTAGTGAGCATGAAAATGACTGTCTTCTGGGTCGTTGCGCCCTGTAGTGTGGTTGAAGTATACCGATGTTTCGGAAGTGTTTGGTATCTCCATCGTCAGGGCAATGACCTAGAATACAGTCATCTTTAAACATGTTTTGTCCACTACTGGGCAGGTCAGTCTCAAAAATGCATAACTTGATAATGGTGGCCTAAGTGGACAAGGTCACGGATCAGACTACATTGTACAAATGATTGAGCCATTTTAAGGCTGTCTGACAATCACCCAGAGAAGTAAAGGTCATTGTTAGGTCATAATGAAGGAGTCCTGCTTGTGTTTAAGGGGTCATCCAATAGGACTGTAAATGAATAACTGTCAGTAATTGAAATTTTCCGTGGGCGTGCGTGTGTGTATGCTTGCACATGTGACGTGTCACATGCATTGTTATTCTGTATGATGACCTTGACATACTTTATGTGGCATCTTGTTCCATGAAATCTCAGAGGTTCATTGCTCATTAGTGGGGTCCATGTTTGATAGTCAGTAGTGATTTATATTTTCTGAAGAGGGTTATCATGGGCAATGAAATGTCCTCCTACCATGTCACTGCACAGTCCGAAAGTAAAGACACTAGCACTCACCCTCATCATGAGGGCAGCATGTGATGTCAGAGGAAGAGGTTTGCAGGAGTGTTTCCAGCAGTGGTAAAGTCACTGGCAGAAATCCGTGACACAGGAAAGGAACTAAATCAGAGGCACTGTGAAATAAAACCGTCCATGACGACATAAGCTTTGTGTGCGTATGTATGTTCGTTCATGGGCTTTTTACCTTATTGCATATTGTTTACTGAAGTAAATGTGCATTCCTTTGATATGATGAGCTTTTGTTTTGAAAGTATTTGTTGAAGTTCGTTTTCATGCATGTGTTTGTGTTAGTAAAAGTTCACTGCATTTTTATGGATATAACTATAGATTTTCTATTCATTTAAGCCCTCTTTGTACTCTCTCTGTTTGTATATAAACTTACTATTTAAAATAAATATAATAAACTATGTTTATGTACATTTTCTTTAGATGGCACATCATGAAAGAAGACCAAATGAGATAAGTCATATGAAAGTCAGTTGTGATGGTGTGAATTACGTTTGACTGTCTCAGGGTATGGTCATGTGGTGGGCTTTGGTGTCAGCAGTGTTGAGCCTTTGGGTTCTAATACCAGATTGTCATTTGGGTGTTTAGCTGGGGAGACCCTCCCCATAACAACCTTCAATAAAT